ACAATCCTCCTTTTCATTGACTGTAATGATCTTCTATGCAAGGTTTCCTTAGATGGTGTGAGACAATAACTTGTCGAGTCAGCATGCTTGGAAAACAGGTTCAGTTTCTTATGCAGGAAAATATTAAAAAGCAAGGAAAAAGTCATCACAAAATCCTGATCCTACTATTAAATAAAATTAGATTGGTTTATCGACAAAATATGAGAACAAAAATACCGAAAAGCGGGGCCTTGTGGATGGCAGAGGATCTTCATTAAAATGCAATTTTTGCTAATTATTCACTAAAATATGCTCTTAAAGCCTACTTTGGTGACACTGTTTAAATTATGAATTGATCATTAATTATTATGTGTGCATTTAAAACAAACCTTTATTCAAAGAAGAAGGTTTCACTGGGGGAGGGGGGCTCTTTAAAACAGGGGGTTTGCAAACACATGCATTTCCTGCATATTAATATGTTTTATGCAACAATTTATGGTGCCAACGATAACGTAAAAAAAGCATCTGGGAGAGTAAGTGAAAACAAAGGAATATACATTTTTTTATTCTAGAAATAACGATTTAAAGAAAACGCGAAGGAACATTTCTCTCCAGCTTGTTAATATCCCTTTTCCAAGCATAACGGAAGGTGCTCATGACCCCTTTAAGGTCTCTCTGTGCCATCAGACAATTAAGATTTTAATTTTTGACTCTCTTGCCCTTAGGGTATTGGTTCACTCTGACTCACTCAGACATTAAGAAAGCTGAATATGATTGGCTCTGTATTTCCTTGGCATGACTAAACATGTCAACATCCATTTCCTCAAACACACATACAAGAACGATTCCTGAATGACAAAACGTTATGTCTGCACTGATAAATATATAAATTGAAGCCAATCTTCACCCATCGTTGTCCTCACCCTGTTTCAAATGTATCGGTTATTTGTAGCCATTATTTATTTGCAAACTCTCAAAGGGACCTCCATTGAGGTGCCACACTCGGTTGCTAGGAGATCTGTGACGCAACCGCAAAAGTGTCTAAGCGAGGTTAGGGTGAGTGTTTATTTTCTACATGTGTACTAGTGACGTCACTCAGATTGAGTTGTGTGCAAAGGGTATGAAGAACATTTAAGCCATTTATATCCATAAGCACACTCAGACACCTACACTCTCTATTTCTCTGCATCACACACACACACACACACACACACACACACACACACACACACACACACACACACACACACACACACACACACACACACACACACACACACACACGTCTCGTTTCGTCTCTGTGTAAACGTGGCCTCAGACTATGTGAGCTCAAACTGCCTGAGGGGCTAGAGGTGAGCTGAAAATGTCCCTCTGTGGCCACCATTACTTGTTCCATTGGAAAAACAATGACTTCTCATGGGATGTTCCCATTATATCAAGTATGCATGAGGGCAATCTAAAACAAAAAGGCAATAAATCAATGTTATCTTTTATGATCCTCCCTACCTTTTTGATTCCTATAATATAAAGTTAGGCATAAGGGCAAAGTAATGCTGAGAGGAAGAGATTTAAAAATAAATCTTATGCAAACCTCAAACTCAACAATTCTTAGAGGTATCGCCATAACATTCCAGGGAGAATAAACTAAAATGTTGTGTCAATAAGGAAAATACAGGCACTCCAAAAAACACCATGTACCAAGACAAAGTAGATTGTGTAGTTTCTGCTGAATGTGTGTGTGAAAAAGTGCGTGATCTTTTTCCTAACCTAATCATTTGTTGTTGTCCCTTAATCTACAAACATTAACCATTGCTCGAGGTTCATTCTTTTGTTTTGAGTTTCTAATAGAGCATGTTTACATATTTTAATGTTAAAAAAAATAAATATATATTTCTCAAACTGTTTGTCTGGATATGTCTCTGAGCACTCGATCTGAAACTCTCTGTTTTAGCACCTGTCTCTTTACGCCCCCTCCCAAAATTGCAAAGGTACTTCTCAAGCCTTGGGTATAGACACTGTAGGTCTATTCTAATGAGCCTGTATTTAAAAGGGCCAGTTTCTGCTCAATGTCAGGTTCATATTTTGTGCCTCTACTGTGACATGTTAACATGCTTTGATGTTTAAGAAGGTCTTTCACTTCCTCATACTGCCTGTGCTGCAGCACCTCTTTTCACCCTCCGTCTGAAACCAGAGCCCAGTCTGCTCCGATTGGTTAGCTGGCCGGCTCTGTTACGATTGGTCAAACGCTCAGAGATGTCCCACCCTTAAGCCTTATTATCACGTACAATGTATTGGAGCAATAGCCAATATAAGTGCAAGTGTTACGTACTGATGCAACAAACAAAAGGGGTCCGATGAAGCGTTTCAGGAAGTGTGTGGCAGAGAAACTCCCTCTGGAGGTAACACAGGGATTTGAGCCTTTGCAGATGTACATGCAAAGAAAGCTATATAACACACTACAGGAAAGAGAAAACCCACAAATCATAATAGAGCCCCTTTAACAAACATGTAGGAAGGTGATTCATTTTGAATAGCATGTTGAATCCCATGCAGGGGAAAGTCAGTCAGAACCCCACTTTGTGCAAAAGACCACCCTAGCAAAGAAACACTACTGTGAATCTCAAATGTTATCTAATAGTATCATAACCAGACTATCACAAAAAGTATTTCTAGGTGGAAAGCCATAGCAACTTATAGGAGGATATCAGGAGGATGCTGACGTTTCAGCTTCGACCGGGCGCTGACTCATCCTGAGCAGACAGCGTTTGGTCACCCCAGCCTTGTAGGTCCTCCGATTATTTTGATTCAGAGCGCTACAGAGATGAGTTACAATACTGCTGGCTGGAGGGCCCTGACGTATGAGACGGCAGTGATGCCCTAATCCCAAACATAGACCTGGGACCGATGTTTATCCTCGCTTACCGAGCGCATTCACATGTGTCTGATGCTCAGACATACACACATAGAAATACACACACCATTCCTAAAATAGGATCTGGAGAACCACGGGATCAACTAAGGAGCTCCACAAAGAAAACTTCCACTTTCTCTTCACTCAGTGATTTACAGTTTATACACATTGTATTGATTACATACAATTCCAGTTTTATTTTACCCAAATAATAACCATAAAAGAGTGCAAAACAGGGTACAGTGTATCTGCATAATACGTTCAGCCTCCATGGAATGAAGGTATTAAAGTTATAGGTGGATGTTTAGATGACATATTAATGTTAATGTTAATAATAATACATGTTATTGTGTAGCTGCTATACGGGTACTCAAAGGGCACTTTATATGGTAAAAACTAATTAAAGCTATGACATTAAAGCATCATCTTGGTTTTGTAAATAAAAAAGAAAGACCTCCTCTTCTCTCCGTGCAAAGGTATGTTCTGCTCTGTGCAGCTGATGTTGATAGAAACAACACAGAAAGACGGATCAGTTACAGTGAAGGAACACAAACATCCTAACTGCAGATAAGCCCAACCTCGACTTCTATCTGTAACCTGAAACCCTGTTTTCAACATTAATACTTAAGGTGTCAAAATTAAAAGTTAAAGCTGACACTTAAGTATAACAATATCTTGCATATTAATATTATTTAAGTTGTCTTAAATGAAATAATAAAACAAGATAAAGATGTTTTTCCTAATGAAAGAAGTGCTACATGCACATACCACATCATGTGTTTTGATTTCATTAGTCTTTTGATTAACAACCAAAGACAAAGCATGTGATACACGATGGTCAAGTTAAATGATAAAAACATAAAGTAAAATGTGACAAGGTACCTATAATTGTAATCGCAATGTGAACTTGTACTAACCTCCTTCTAATGCAATCTATATTATATACTATGTCTATTCCATGCTCATTTTATGTCTATTCTTATGTATTTTATTGGTAACTGTATTCTATGTGTTCTCAATTTTCTGTGGCTTTTTCATGAGATGTCAATTCTCTACTGTGAAGCACTTTAGACTGCAAATCTTGTATGAAAGGTGCCATTCAAATAAAGCGTATTAGTATAATTAATGTCGCAATAACAATGATTACATAAGTAGCAGATGTGTTTGGACAAGTGAGAAAACTACATTTAACTTATCCCACATAAAAATAAATGAGACACTTTTCTTAAGAAATGTAATCCAGGCCCACAATTTCAAGTAGTAAAAGATAATAAGATAAGTTTATCTTATTAAGTATATCTTACTTTATTATCTTGTATTCATTGAAAATGTGGGCCTTGATTACATTTCTTAAGAAAATGCAGTGCTGTATGTTGAGTAAGAAAATAATCCGGAACAAATCATTAGCACGGGAGACTTTACAATAAATGCACATTTATCTGCTAGGTGCCTGTCATCATCACAGTTGTATTTTGTAATCCAAGCACAGCTTTATATGGCGTGTGATTATTCCAAGTCATGCCTCGACCGACAAATATGCAGCGCTGTGCCCCACATACCTGTTAGTCAAGGTCTACTACTATTCACAACACTAAGTGATCACCATTCATCACTCCTTGCGTTGACACAACCTCCATTACTCCCCATCTCCTCCTTTAGTCTAATGGCTTCCGCAGTATGCACATAATGCATCAGGCAATAATGCTGCCAATGTGCAACAACACACCACCTCCGGTCATTATGGCACCGCCTTATTGTTGCATTTCCCAACACTGTACTTAAATATATTCTTAACAAAAATAATTATGGTGATTATGGGTGTTTTTTTCCCGGCACAATAGAAAAGAAGAAGGTTCCAAATTGACACTAGAAATTGGATAGAGGTGAGAAAAGCACATGAGAAGAGTATAGATAATAAAGCACTAGACCTTTTGATTTAATTTAGCAGAATGACATCCCAGAAATGAAACAATGCATGAGAGCTTAATAAGCAGATGTTGAAAGGGTATACCAATACCAATATGAAAGAGGTAAAGTGAAGGCACCTCATTTTATTAAAGCGAGAATGTGATCCCATTTAAAAAAAAAAAAAAAAAAAGAGTTCACTCACTTGCAGAGGGGGTTTCAGCATGGACAGGAGGTGTGGAAGGGATGAAGGAGGGAAAGAAGAAGGATCGCAGAGATCGTTCAGTGAGGAGGGGCGAGCGCTGCGTGGGCAGATTCTCACAGCTGCCCACGCTGCTGTGGATCTTAAGGTTCAAGGGCTTGGTCTTCTTCTTGGCTCTGAGGGAAACAAGAGAAGAAAAGTAGAAATCACTGAGAGGGATATAGGTTGCACAAACACATGTTTCAACTAACAGCAGAGCTTTGAGTGGAGGTAAAAAAGCCTGAGGACTCATAATGTACTAACAACATCATTATAGGATTAAGTGATATGATACAGTGAGCCAGGCCAGGTATCATGTTGATAAAGTGACTACAAATCAACAGGCATCAGGCAAGAAAGAAGACACGTTCGATTCTCAAAGAAAAATGTCTTGGACTTGTCATTTATTTTGTTGCTGATCATTTACTGTCACTTAAACTACTGTTGGTCAGCTTTGTAAAGCGGTATGTACTGCAGGGCTTTGAACTGACTGCTAACATCAGCATGCAAATGTGCTCACGATGACATTATAATACTAAGTAGATATAATGTTTACGATGTTCATCATCTTAATTTAGAATGTTAGCATGCTAACACTTACTATTAGCTTAAAGTATAACAGAGGAAGATGGAAATGTCATATCTGACTTCTAACCACAAATGTCAACCTAATAGAAGTTTTAGAGGAAAAGTCAGGTTACCACTAAAGTCACTGGATTCATTCTCTAGACTCCAGTAATACAACCAATTTCTACAAAATAACAAAGGGATAAATCTAATTGGTTAAGACACAACGAGAGACGGTCTCAAATAGACATCCCTTAAAAGCATGCTGTTAAAAATCTGATGCCAAACCACTGTTATTACAGTAGAGGGAATTATAGCTGTAGTGTAAACAGTTTAATTAGCTAGAAATCATTTAACAGTAGCTTAGTATTCATGATATTCATCAATTTCACGGTACCCACATAATTAATCTGTATCCTTTTACTCATCTGATGGGAGAAAATATATAAGACTCTCTGAATCATATTCCATATTTCAGACAAGTCTAAATTAAAGATTTGTTCTCAGGTGACAGCCATCTATTTTCGTGATTTGTATTGGTTTTCACGGATCTGTCATGCGGCCTTAGGTAAGGATATGACACCTGAAACCAGACCTTCAGGGTGAATGAGAATGCTTCATGTTATTGTGAACTCTTAGACATGAACAAGCTCTAACCTGTTAGTAAAACAAAGATTTGAAAGAGCCGGTTGATATCCAGATATACTGTAACGGTTATCTACACCAATGAGGCTCAGTGGACCCAGGTAACTCAAAAAGACCAATCCGTAGACTGCTTTCATTTTTTAAGGGTAGGGTGTATTATACCCATCTGGAGATGTGTTATTCTGTCAATATGTGTTTACAGTTTGACAAACATCTTGGCACCATTAAACATTTGAAATGTACCCATGAAAGAAAACTCTCAGTGTTATGATTTATAGTTTTATATTATGGTCTTTGACTCAAAATAAGCATACGCAATCTCACCAGGTAACATTTGAACGGCAAATTAAATGTGCAGCTTGATATAGGTCCAAGCAGGCAAATAAACCTGAGAATATACAGTACATAAACAAACCCCAGGTATGCATGCATACAGATATTCGGGCATAGATACAAAAATAAACCTCCCTTTAACTCGAGGACATCATTTTGCCATTTGAATGTCATTTAGAAAACTGATGGCAAACCTGATTGAGATGTCATGTTAGGCAACAACATCAGATAGGAACGTACACTGTATGTAAATTGACAAAAAGTGATGTTTGAAATGTACTGTATAAGAGCGAGCTAGAAATACAGGAAGCTACTGAAGGAAAAGCAGTAGAACCAGAAAGAACAACAATGGATGAAAAGGGAACAAAACCAATGCAGATAAAAGCCGGCTTATATGCAAAAAGGAGAACATAATTGTAAAAAAAAAAAAAGAACATGAAAAAGATTGAATCCAACAGATTTTAATATAAAAAAAACTTAAAGCTGTGAGTCCTGACTTCTCATTCATTAAGTGTTGAATCCCAAAGGAGCTCTTCCTCCTATGTCAGTCTCTCAGTCTCCATACTGACTCATGCAATTAGACCTGTAAACCAGCCCGGCACTTTTCCCCCATCTCCTGCAATAAGGAAGCAGCCTGCAGGTTATCACTTCTCCTTCATAGAGTTTTTTTCAGCTATTCCGATTAGCCCACTTTATGCAATTTGAATCAAAATTAAACCATTCATCTCCCTGTGTGCATGCCTTTTATCCTACACCCCAATGGTTTGTAGATGTTTAGTGAGGGGAAAGCGAAAATGAATGTAGAGGGAAGGGAGAGGATTCCCAAAATTGGTTTTGAAGACGGCTGTCGGTGAAGGCATGTGGGCGAAGTTGGTGAGTGTCAACTCCACAGTTGCCAACACATCTATTCAGATACCCCTTTTTCTACTCTGCATATGAAAAGTTGGAGGAAGAGTAACTATAATGCACCATACAGGAGACAGAAGAAGAGGGAGGTGGGTGACTTGTCAAATGTTAAGGGAAATCAGCAAAGGTGTGAATAGTAGTGTCTTTTGATCTTGTACATCACAATGCATTTCTCACAGATGGAAATCACTGCATATTTCCGTCATTTCAGAAAGCCTCTGAATCGTTCATCCCCCTGGGTCTTCTCTACCAAACAAACAGGAACACCACCATTTTTTTTTACGTATGATTTAGGCATTTCCTCTACCTATAGTAGTGATTCAATGAAGCACGCTGTTATGCTTATAACTTGCTGATTTGTTGTTTTCTTCCTTCCTGTTATATCCTGATATCTAGTTCTCGGAATCATTGAGGTTTAATTGTGTCTTTCCTGATTTGATTGAAGATGCAGTTCTACATTTGCATAACATGAATAAGCGTTAATTCAGTGCGCACAGTTTGAAGATGTCTCGCTTTTTCTTTCAAATGATCTGTGAAGGTTGGATGTTGTCATCAGCTAGGACAGAGGGATTCAAGGGAATCCTGCTCAATGTGTGTGGGCAGGGAGGTATACTGAAGCATATAAGGTGGGATCAAAGCTGTGTTAACTTTCTTAGGTTTTTTAAAGATCAGATTTTCACTTTATAATATACAAGCAAGGATAGAAAAACTTGACATTCATGCACACACGTCCATGCATTAATCCGCCCACTCCCTCCCTCCACATCCACTTCCCCCACACTTGCAGAGAGGCTAATTACAAAGACAGCTTCAAGTAAAAGTTCCATTTGATCAAGGACATAGGAGAGCAGCGATCCTTCAAATGACATATTTATTTTCCTTTCTGAAATATCAAGAGGATTTCTAAAAAGCGGGGGTCATGCATATTCTGTCGTTTAGGTCTGGCTAACAAGCTAAAAGCTGCTCAGCATCCAAATGGCTCAATAGTGATGCTGAGAAACTGCAAAGCCTTCCAGCTCGGTCTAATTAACACTAGTCTCCATCTAGGAGAGTAAAATGACTTGCATGATACCATCTACATACCTCCAGTTTTTACCTCAGTAAAATGCAGAGTGCTCTACCGAGACCCATATGGCCAGAAAAGCGCAGTTGAGTTGTATGCAAATGGACCTGTGGAATAATATGTCTGGCACCCAATGTTCTTAGCTGCTTTAAAAAAGTTTGTGGAAAATGAAATAAAGGTGGCTAGAATAATGATTGCAACAGAGAATTACTGTGAGCCCTTTGAGCAGTTTCACCCAAAGCAGGTAGTCTAGCTTTCAGAAGTCTGCTGTTTCAATCCCGAGTTTAATAAAAGCCGACAGTCAGTGACCCAAGGTAGTTCTTTTTTGTTTTTTTTCCAAAGGCATTGCGGCAGAGCAATGCCAAACTTCATCTTAAAGGAATGTATTGTCATGCTCAGCAAGTGAAACAAACCAAACAATTCCCTTTTGTTCATTACGAGACGCTGCATTTTTTAACTTTGATGATTTGTATTCACCTACACAAACAAACAAACATACATACATACAACATCATGTAAATGCTTAACCTTCACTTGCTTGCTTAATTGTTTAATCCAAACGTACAACAGGGAGGAGAATCATGAGGATATAGATTAAAAGCTGAACATGATGCCTATAGAAGATAGGGAGACACCCAATGCCGGGAAGTCAGAAAGATAAAAACAAAGAGTGAAACAATGTCCTATGAGAGACAGAAAATGAGAGGGAGAAAGAAGAGGCACTGGAGCCGATGAGCAGATGAGAAGTGAGACCAGTGGTTGGGGTCTGGACAGCAGCGACAGAGGAGTAATACGTCGACAGGAAGGCGTACGGACGGTGACATGTCGTCTCTTCAGAAGAATTTCAGGAATGTGTGTCAAGGCACGCAGACATTGTCTGGACCTGTCTGGTTGAAATAGTTTCAGTGCAAAATGATGCTCCCATTGTAGGCCATCAGCAATGTTATGGTAGTGTTGCTGTTGGTATAAAATGTGGTTTATGTTTTCATTCCACATGGGTTTTATATGTTTGCAACAAACTGTTTATTTGAATCAACATGTGGAAGGAAAACTAAATGTGAGAGGGAACACAAATATGTAAAATAAATTCAGGAGGAACTAGCAATGAAAATGACTGAAAAATGTGTTTTTAAATCTAAATAAACTAATATTATCAAGCTAATTGGCCGTATTTCATGACGATGTTCCACTTTTTCTATCAAACACAAACTGTGCTGCTGCCCAACTCTGTAATGTTCTCACTGTCTCTCTCAGTCCTCTGTCCAAAAGTCAAGGTTCATTGAAAAAGATGACAAACATGTTTGTAACAAAATATTCTGCATTAATGCTGTTTGTTGGTGTTTATCCTTTCAAAAACGACATTTTCAGTGCGGTCACACTGTTTGCTTTTTTGGCTTGCTGTGCATAAAATAACACCACTTTATTAATTATTGTTAATGTTTAACGTAAATGAGTTTAATAGTGGGTCAGGTCACATGCCTTATATTAACCAGTCAGATTAGGTCTGGGTTTCACTTGGAGATAATGGTGGGTAAGGAGTGTGGGTTTGCAAACTGGACCTGTGGAGCACTTGCCTTCACTCTACGCTCTCAAAAGAATGGTTCTTTGTGTTGTAAATACTGA